CATTACTGATTTCATCAGGGATTGGAGCCGGATCCATTTCTTGTATTACAAAAATTTTCCCAATCTCCTCCTCTGGGATCTCCAATTTAACACGGCCTCCTTCAAATAATATTTTGGCATTCAATAAAGATAGTAGGTCCCGCCCAAATAAAGGCTGGGGGCAATTTGGCATATACAAAAATTGGTGATCTAATTCCTTTCCTCCAAACTTTAAACTTAAGGGTTGCAAAAAGGGTCTTTCCTCTAATTGACCCGTAGCCCCTATTACCTGTACCGTGGTGTCACTAAGGGGTCCTAATCACTTATTTAAAACTGAATGTGCGGCTACCGTGTCAACCATGAACTCCTGTTCCCTTCCAGCTACCTCTATTCTTACTCTTAAATCCCGGTCTAGTCAGCTCTGATTCTGAAAATTTCCAAGCATCATCGCCTGAGCCTGTGCTTGGGCACCATCTACTGGCATCACTGGGAATCTTCCCATTAATCCAGCATTATTCCCTATCCCATTCCACACTGGACACTCATTTTTCCAATGTCCCAATTGGCGGCAAAAAGCACATTGATTAGGCCCTAACCCATTCCGTCTTCCATTATTTCTCCCTAGTAACCCTGAGTCTTGGAAGCCCCCCCTTCCTACCCCAAATCCTCTACCGCGACCCCTTCCACAACCCCTGCCTCGCTGTCCTCCTCCCCGTCCCGCAGTTTGTTGAATTATTGCCAATATCCCTGCCTGCTGCCGCTTAGCTGTTTCCTTTTCTCTATTATTATACACTTTCCATGCCACCTCCAGCATTTTATCAAGCCTTCGGGTGTCATCCCCTTCCAACTTTTGTAGCTTCTTCCTAATATCATCCTGCGATTGTCCCATGAATAATAGGGCTAATTGTAGTTGACCTGGTTCCTCATCAATTTCTAAGTTAGTATACCGCCGAGCAGTTTCCCTCAGCCTCTCTAAAAAGGCTGAGGGTGATTCATTCTTTTCTTGCCTTATCGAATATAACTTAGACCAGTTCAATGTTTTAGGCATCCCCGTCCAAATCCCCTCTATTAATAAGTCTTGATACTTTCGTATGGCTCTATAGCCCTCCACGCTATTCGGGTTCCATCCTGGATCATCGCTAGGAACCAGCTCATCCACAGTTCCTCTAGTCCTCTCCAACCTTATTTCTTCCCTGGCCCTTTCCTTGGTTGCCCGTAATACCATTTCATTTTCTGCAGAATCCATTATGGTGTCCAATAACACCTGTAAATCATTCCAATCAGGATTCTGAGTTTTAATCACCATTTTCACTACTCGTGCTACCCTTTCGGGGTCCTCCTGATAACTGCCAGCTGATTGTTTCCAAATGACCAAATCACCCAGGGAGAAAGGAACCTTTATGAGGACCCTTCCCCCTTGAGGACCCATGGCCTCTCTCAAAGGTGCTATCATATGAGGCCCTTCATTA